GTAACGAAATGGAGGAATATTTAATAAACAAAAAAAAAAAAAAAAATTAAAATAACAAATAAAACAATTTATTGACGCTATAGCTAACGAATCGTTTTTATCTTAAGTGCAAGCTTTGCAGCTAGTGATTATTGATAGAAGATCGAGATTAAGCAGCTCAATAAGTTAAGATTTGTGTGTGTATCTTAAGTGTTTTTAATAACCTTTTCTAATCTACTCTGCACTCACTAAAATATTTTGCAAAAATCTAAATAATTTTCCACTCTAATTAACAATAATACAATTTTCACTTTTGATTTCCAATTATCCACAATTTTATTCACTTCAAAATGTATGTATATAAAAAATGTACAATTTGATTAATTGTTGGTAAATTTTCGTTTGTTTGTTTTACTTACTAACAACTACTAAAAAAGTATTAAAAATAAAATACTAGAATTTATATACAAATTTAAATCGGATTTATTTGTGAAAAAATAAGGGGGACGAAAAGAAAACAATTCAAAACGTTAGAAATTGATTCCAAAAATATTGTTCACAAAATTCGAGGAGACCGATTGGAATATTTATACATACAATATTTTTACGAAAATATACAAATACATAGGATATACATATATATATATATTTTAAAAGATTATATAAAGTTATAGATAGACAGTTATTGAGAAAAAGGAGATACAGAGATTTTCTTTTTAAACCAAAACGTAAAATTTCCTTCGATTGACATCTTCAGTTTTTTTTGGCGTTTTGGGGGCTGCTACAGATGTTTGTTTGTTGTTATTATTGTTTTGGAATCGAGCAAAGGATGACGACACAGTTACACGGTTTGATATAGAAAAAACGATAACGACGACGACGACCACAACGAGGATTCGATTCACAGAGCAGCAATCACAGGCGTGTTGTTGTTGTTACTTAAACGGAACGAGGCTGAACGACTGCAAAGACAGAGAGAAAGAAAGAGAGAGAGAGAGTCAGATATGGGGACTACATTAGATAAGTCTGGGAGTCTTACAGTGTGGTCGCTGAGACTCCTCGGAGGCGGCACCACCCTCGGCTGGCTGCATCATGGGCACGGGAATGCGCACGGGCTGAGCCAGGCTGCGTCCGAAGACCATGCGACCGAACGGCACCTGTGGTGGCTGATCGACCATGGGTGGTGTCATGGTGTCGCGCGGCTGCTCAGGCAGAGGCTGCAGAATCAAGCGCTGGATTTGCATATGGGGCATTTGGTCCTCCTGCTGCTCTCTGGACTCCTGCTGCTCCTCACGCTGCTGCTGCTGCTGCTGTTGTTGCTGCTGCTGCTCCTCGGACTGTTGCTGGCTTGGCTGGGGCTGGGTTTGAGCTGGTGCAGCAACTGGAGTGGACTGCTCGCCAGGTGCCAYGGATGTCTCAGAGTGCTCCTCCTCCTCCTCGTTGTTATTCTCATTGGAACCAGCAGCATCCTCAGCGGTCAGGCGACGCAGCTCGTCGGTGAAACGATCCTCGGCCATGCGCTGAATGTTGCGCAGATCGTCGGCGGTAATGCCCACACGCTGCAGTGCCATGCCCAGAGGCATGTGCTGGATCTGAATCTGTGGCATCTCACGCTGGGGCATCTCGCGCTGCAGCAGCTCACGCTGTGGCATCTCGCGCTGTGGCATCACACGTTGTGGCATCTCACGCTGATCCTCCTGCTCGCGGGTCACATCGTTGCCCAAGTCCAGCTGGCGGAAAGGCAGCTGGTGCATATGAATGCGCACGGTCTGGATTTGGGGCTGCTGTGGCTGCTCCTCCATGCGTGGGGCTTGCATCACCTGTGGTGGCATGGGCGGGCGCATGGGCAGATGCTGGAACGGAGGCGGCAGCTGGCGGATGATGAACGAACCCTGCTGGGGCAGCTGCTGCTGCATCGCTGGTGGCATCATGCGCTGGGGCATGTGGGTGAGTGGCATCTGGTCGGGAATGCGGCCAAAGGGAATGGGCACACGCTGGAATGGTATGAACATGGGACGCATTGGCTCGACCTCCTCCTCAGAGTCCTCCTCCTCCTCACGCTGGCGCTTGGCCTCCTTCTCCTCCTTATCGTCGCCGCCGTCGCAGTAAATGGAAATACGTTCGCCGGTGATGCGCGCCTTCTTTGGATCGGTGGTCAGATTGACGCCAAAAGGCAGCGCCACGGTCTTCGAGGGTGAGTCAACAATCTCCTCGGCATGCTTGCGCTCCACGACACAGTTCATGCGGGATCTATAAACGATTAATGTCATCATATATTAGCCGACCTCGCCAGCATTTGTCTCTGCAATATTTGCTTACTTCTTGTTGTTGCGCAGGATGGCAGCGGCCAGATCGCTCAAGTCCAGCTCGAGCGGCATCTTGCCTGGGAACTTTTGCATCTCCTCGGGCTCATCGCTCTCCGAGTAGGTGTTGTCGTGCTCATTGAGATTGCGCTCAATGCCTTCGTTCTTTGACTCTGTCTTCTTTTCGATAGCGGCCTCATCATGATCGAGATTCTGCAAATCCTCACCAGCCTCGGATTTGCCCAGCAAAGCTTCAGCTCTGGGTAGTTCCTGTAAAGGCAAAAGAGAACGTTAGCTTTTTGAAAATTCCAAAAATTTCAAGGCTTTCAGTTGGTTTTCGACTAGGAAATGTATTTGTCGCATTTTGTTGCTCATTTAATGTTTTTTATATTTGTTTTCTTGCTTTTGACTTTTTGTTAGAAACCACTTAAAATGGCTTGGGCCATCAAGCACGTACTGGCAATTTACATATACTGCCACAGTGGCTGCAATTGTTATGTGCCACTAACAATGCGACGTTGTCGTCAGAAGATGTGACCCCAACCTAGATACTAAAATACGTCAGACGCAACTGTGACTGAAACCAAAAGTAAAATGCCATCAAATTTGAAAAAAAAAAAATAAATAAATAAAAACAACGAACAAACAAATAAACAAATACATATTACATAAGCATACACCAGGTGTGTGTGTGTGTGTGTCTAAAAAAAACTCACACACAAAAGCAAAATTTAAATAATTTGTTGAGCAAAACAACAAAAAGCTCATTAATTCAATGCGAGGCAGCGCTCGCTGCTGCTGCTGCTGATGATGATGATTGATAGTGGGCCAAGTGGCAGAGGGAGCTGAGACCGGGGCAGCGACTGTGGTTGGGGCTGGGGCTGGGGCTGAGACTGTGTGGGTGTGCAGGTTTTGAGTACCTGGCTAAGCCGTCGCCGGCGGCAATCACAGCTATATAAATATATCCGGTAGCTGATGGCTTTCAGGCCTGACATTGGAATATGAGTTAAGGGAAGAGTTATTAGCTAATTGGACAGCTGCAATTGTCAATGCAAAACAGATTTCAAACGAAGCTAACAATGCTAAAGTGCATAAAATCTAATTAGCTCAAGATGGGAATTCGTTGAGCATTGCCAAAGGCCAGCTTCATTAGTGCTTAATGAGGCGCACTCGATGTTTGCCTTAATGATGCAGCAGATGCTGCATCGTCCGCTCAAGTGCTTCTTAGAAGCATAAGCGTTTGTACAACTCATCTCGAGCTGACTCATTGCGTTTCGCCCGAAATCAAACAACGAAATTTCACTCAGAAAAGCAGAAAAGCAGAAATATGAGTAACTGAAACTAAAACTGAGCTCCAACCCGTTTGACTGGCTCCGAAACGAAGTCAGCGAGTCGTGAGTCTCTGCCTCTGCCTCTATCTCCACCTCTGTTCCAGTTTCAGTGCCTGACACCACTTAGTCAATTGCTAAACTCCCAACTCCGGTTTACGGCTCAATTTTGTTTCTTTCTGTTAATTGTGTTTTCGTTTTGTTTTGCTATGCTGTGCTGTTGTTTATTCATTTTGTATTTTGCCTCTCAGCCGAGTTTCAAGGCCAGGCGAGACGAATCGCAATCTGTTACACCAGTACAGAATAGAACATTGGCGAGCATTAAAAGCTAGACACGTCGCTGTCGCAGACATTAAGATGACAATTAAACGATTACAAATTGAACGTCTGTGTGCAATTACTTTTTAGCCCGACTGTCTGTCTGTCTGTCTGTCTGTCTGCGCTATTTTTAGCATTGACGCAAGTGCCATTTTTTCCCCCAATAAAATTGATATTCTAGTTGCGTAGAATTTCCTTTAGAAAATCGTAGCATAATTAAAATGTTCAGCAGGCAACTGGCAAAGTGTTTGCAAATTTGCACAACACAGCCACAGCAATTATAAATCATCTATGACTGTGTGTGTGCGCCTGTACGTGTGTGTGGATTGGCATTACATAATCTTCAGTTGGAGCCATAAGTTTCTGGCTTTGTTTGCGTGCCCAAAACGAAAGACTTAAGCGCGCAACTTGCCTTAAATGGCAAACAGTCAACGCGTCTTCCACTGCGTCTCTTTTGATCTATGTGAGAGTGTGTATGTGTGTGTGTATGTGTGTTGACGACTTACAAGTTTTCTTACTGCCTGTCTGTCTGTCTATTTGTGTGACGGTGCCAAGCGGCGCCAGCCGGCAAAAAGTGACAGCAAATACATTATGGCTGCTGCCTCTGCCGCTGCCGCTGCCACTGCTCTCTGCTGCTGCAGCTGATGATCTCTGGCATTTGCCGCGCCCACGCCCGCCCCGCCGCGCTTGAGCAGCTCACTGAGTGTGTATGTGCAGCATCAAAGCTGCTTTTGTGCCATGCACCGACACATTGCAACATGCTGCTGCCGCTGTTGCTTCTGTGGCTGCTGCTGCTGCTGCCGCTGCTGCTTTCACTTTGGCTCTGGCTGCCATTTGATTCGCAATTGTTAGCCACTGATGATGATTATGTCGCAAGCTGCTCCCAGCTTTGCAGCTCAGCTTGTCCACTTAAGCGTCAAATTATGGGAATTTCGCTTGATTGAATTTTGTACATTGCACCAACGGCTTTACATAAGCTCCCCACACAAAAAGCTGCTATATATAGAGAGTTTCTATTTCGTTTCAGCTTTATGTTGTTTTTTTTTTTTTTTTTCGAGTTGAATAACCTGCTCCCAATTGGCAGCATTAAAATGACGTTGCTATTTTTATTAGTATTATTAATTTTGGTCTTGATTGTTTTCCATCAAATTAAATTTAATTGCCGCTGCATATTTATCTATGCATTTAATTAGTTTTATTGTTTGTTATGGGCGCTTTCATTGCACGTTAATTGAATATTGATGATGCCATGCAAATGCTAGAGTCATATATCATGTATCTAAGAAATATGAACGCTGTCTCTGCAGCCATTAAATTTGAATTATGTGGCATATAGACAAAGGCTGCACAGTCATCCAAGCCAAGTAGTCAACTATATATATAGTCTATATATATATATACAGCCATACACCCATATAACACTGGCACTTGGCTTACACCAAATGGGATTGTTATGGTACGGCTATTTGGGCTTTAATGGGCTACTTTGATTACATGAAGTGAAATTTCTCAAGGAAGCACGCAACACGCTAATTCAATTTGCACTTATACAATTTTAAATGTTTATGAATATGAATATGAATGCATGAATGTGTGAATGTGAATGTGCATTCAATTGCCTTGCTTATGCATGCAATGTGGTAAAACATTGCGCTATCGACTATATACATACATATATGTATATATGGTATATATGTATGTGTTTATACAACTTGTAGCGTTGCGGATATCATTAATTCGATCTTGTGTTGACAGCAAAGGTTTGCAGTTCGCCATATCGAGGGCTCACTGTGTCCGCACCTTGTAGATATTTGATTTATGGCTTTCTCAAGATATTCTCTAGATTATTCAATGACTTCTCATCAGCAGCTGGTAGAGTGCATTATATAAAACAGACTTTAACTCTAAAGACACACATACATACATACATATATGACTGTGTATTTATAGATTAGTTCTAGAGCTGAATAAACAGCCTGCACAATCAGAAAGTTTTCCAACTAACTCTTCCTCTTTTATTGAGTTTCTTACTCAACTGCTTCAGTGCAGTATGTTTTATTTTATTGTTTAGCTAATGCAATTCAAATTGCTATAAAACACAAACAACTTCCAATCACTTTTGCTATCAATAAACGCTAAACGCTCATTGGGTTTTTCCATTGATTAAGTCTGAAAAGTCCCCTCGGTGCAGCTGTTTTGATGCTAACTACAACAGTGCATGCTAAAATATTGTTTACCCATTTGGCAGCTAATAGTGCGTGCAATCAATCAATRGTAATGCGAAGGCAATGTACCTGCTGGGAACAATCAGCCGACACGCATCTATCAGCCATATTCATAAAGCTATACATGTGTATTTATATGCGGACATTTTCCGGTAATTATCATTAATTTGCCTTTATAATTTGACTGTTGCGGTTGAAAATTTGCTTTGGCGTGCGCAACGAACGATGCAAAAAGCAATAACGCCCATAAAAATATTATGAACATTAGGTAATCATATAAATTTTAGACATATGTACGTATATATGTATATGCGATAAGCGACTCGCAAAAGCTGACACCGACTGATACGAAATGTTGTTCCCCCATTCTGCTTCTCTCCCGCTCTCTCTCTCTCTCTCTCTCTCTCTCTCTCTCTCTCATCAAATCTTGTTTAGCTGCGCATTGAGGCGTTCAACAGTCACTTACCTTGCTCACCTGCTGCAGCGTTTCCAGCATTAGCTCCTTCTCCAGCACCGAGTCCAGGGCCTGCACCTGATCACAGGAGGCCTTGGCCTGCAGATACGACGAGGCCAAAATGAATGAGCCCAGTATGAACGACGATACGACTATGGTAAAAGCCGTGATCTTGGCTATTTTCACCGAATTCGCTTGACGCTTGTACGCCTGCAAGCAAAAGCAACAATCAAGATTAGTTTTTAGATATGTATATATAATATGTAGTTGTATAGAGTTTTTCGATTCCAGACTACGATTATTAGCCAGCTACAATTAAAAAGTAAAAGTGTTACGTGCTCTGTTGGCGTTGACCTTAAGATCGAGTAAAAGCGTTGACCTTGCACAATTTTGTTACTGTTTTTGGCTCACGTTTCAAAATGCAGAGTGCAAGGTGCCCGAAGAAACAGAAAACATATACGAAAATGAGGTTAAATAAGTTGAATGTTAAGGTAAGATTAATACAGTTATAGCAAAAGAAAAACAGACAATAGTAAAAGCTTTCTGAGTCAGCAAAAATAGATTTTGTGAACTTGTATTGAAATGAGCTTAGATATCTTTGAATATGCAAAATGCTTGACAAATATTTGCTCAATTCTTGTACGTGCAAAAATTGACAAGCTTTTGCTAAAACTCGCTTGCTATGGCATACGATGATTTGTCGATATTTGTGTAGGTCTTATGATGTAAGCTATTGATCAAGTCCAAGACAATATTGATTTGGCATGGAGTGTGGAACAGATAGACATACAAACAGATGTATAGAGGCAGACAGAGGCAGACGGACATGCTTAAAATCGGAGGAATTTAGCTTTATAGGCAAACAGCTGGGCAAATGGACAGACATTTATAGAAACTCAATACAGCTTTAGAGTAGAGTCTATGATTGAGCTCTGTGAAATCGTCTTTCAGCTGCTATGGACATAGATTTTTCCAGAACTCATATACCACATCTAAGCACACAAAGATTGGAAGACTTCTTTATAGACAAACAGCTGGATGATACGATCAGACATTAAAATAAACTTCATTTAACCTTATAATAGAGTCAAATATATTCATATTTACGAAATAGTCTCTCAGCTGCCATTATATCATATCTCTGCCCACAATCTATATAGCCTTCTATCAGGCAGTGAGCTGTAGGGGCAAACAGCTGAATATTGAGACCCACATGGATTGGACTGGAATTTATTTTAATGGACAAACAGCTGGACATGCTTAAATAGGAATTCAATTCAATCGTCGTCCAGCTGCTCTCTAGCCTTTTAGCATATGTTATGCACAAGAAATCGAAACAAAAGGCTATAAACATGTACACATATATTAAATATATATACATATATAAAACTTGCATAACAGGAAATACTTAACAAAAAAAGAGACAAACAGAAAAAACCGCAAAAATTTGTTGTGGAAATAAAAAGGCCAACAGCAAGCAGAGCTCGAAAAAGCAAAAACAAAAACAAAATAGAAAAGAAAAGAAGAAGAGACTTAACGCCTTTTTTAAAGTTTGGCGTGGGTGCAGTCAGTCAGGTGAGGCACCTCTGTGTGTGTGTGTGTGTGTGTGATGTGCAGCGAAATGTGCAATTTTACACCTTTAGATTGTGGCATAGTATGTTACTGCGTGTGTATTGTGCCCATTTTTTGTTGTTTTTTGTTCGTTGCTATTGTTGTTGCGAAAGTGAGTCGCAGTCGAAGACATCGCCGATGTATAAGTATTAAAGTRAAGTGAAGTGAAGTGCTATTTGGTGAATGTTAGGCACAGCTACAACAACAACAAGCATACATCTATAGTATAATGAAGCAGAGAAAAAACAACGGCTGCTGCTCGTTACTGTTGATAAGTTTTGTTGTTGCTGCTCATTATTTGTGTAGCTGGCGGTTGGGTGCAGTTAAAAGACAAAAGACTTGAGCGACAAACCTGATGATTAAAGTTAAAAAATCCCAGCTGTGGTTTACATATTTTGTTGTTGTTGTTGTTGTTGTTGTGTGTAGTGCGAGGTGTTGGTAAAAGTTATATAAAAAATTTGATTTTCATATTTTGTTGATTGCCAATCGGAGTTTTATTTTTTATTTTTATTTGAAGTGTGTGAGAGGCAAACAATTTATTTTGTGATTGGTGGACAAAGGCGCACACACAAACACACAAACACACAGACACAGACACATACACATAAAATGAGAGAAAAACAAAAGGTTAATGAGTTGGTTGCATGAAGGTTTCAAACGATGCTTAAAACTAAGGCCACAGTGAAAGCTGCAGGTCCAACTACAACACTTGAAGGCTGACACAAGGCAGATGACTCTGAAGATCAACTGATGACAGTGGCTACAAAAAGTAGTGTTCCAGATCTGTACCATAGATTCTGTAGGTATCTTCAAGCTATAGCCGGCTAAATCTTGTTTAAATCTTTAGTTCAGCTCACTTCAATTCAATTTACCTCGACCAGCTTTCACTGCGGCTGCTGTGCGCTTGCTGCACAATTTATGGCTGATGCGGATGTACGAAATGCAAATGTGCAAAATGCATTTTTTATGCAAATTTCAAATCAATTGAAGCCCACATAGCGCCCAGTTCTTGCTCGGCTGCAATATAATTGCGCCAGTTTTTTCTCCGTTTTAGCTGCCTGATGCTGTCATGTCGCATTCGATTTGTTTGTGTTTATCATTATGAGGCTTTGTATTTACAGTCGTGACTATTGTATTAGATCTTAAATTTGGTTTCCAACTGGTTTTCTATTTGCCCAGCTCAAATGCTTCGCCGCAAATGGGTACAAATCTATTCACACTTTGCTGAGAATTGCGCTGTGCCCATTTGCAGGCTGCAGACTGAGCTCAACTGAGCTGAGCTTTTGTTTTTGATTTATTTATTTCAGTTGGATTTTTTCTTGTTTTTTTTTCTTTATTGTTTTCCATTCGTCTTAAAATGTCAACGTCGCGAACAATTGTCAAAGCTGTGCACGTTGCATGCCTTTGCCCAAGTACCGGGTCATAATAATTGCAAAAAATTGCATTAAAATTATTATCTGCAGCCAAATTGCTTATGCATGCAGTTGCAAAGTCGACGTAGTTAGGGAAAATGATCACGTGCAGTCAGTCAGGCAGTCCAGTCCAGCAGGCAGAGGCAGTGTTCACATTGCTAAAGATGCAGACAACGACATATTGCGCATACGCGCCGTTTGCCCGCAGCGGATGTGCCGGCCAATCGAATGACCCTGGCATTTTTTGTATTTATTTATTTTACGACAGCAGCTGCRTTGGGCTGTGGCCAAGTAACGCTTGGATCGCCGCTGACCCGCTTCTACACAGCTCGGACAAAGTTAGCGCAAATAATTGCCAGACTCAAATGACATATGGAAATTGTAATTATGCTAGCCATTCAACAATGACAAACGCAATCAACCAACAGATATATACATAATCATAATTTCTATCCATTTTATGTGCTTTTAGTATATTTACTCACCGGTGGCGGTTCGCTGGCGGTGCTGTACACCTCGCTAGCCGCATAGTCGGGCTTCATTTGCACGGTAGCCATGGATACGTTATCCTTCTCGGTCATCTATTATGCACTATAAAATAAATACATACATAAAATTGATTTGCTTTGCCTTCACACTCTTCCAAAAGTCTGATTGTTTATTTTCTTTAGTAGTATTTCATTTTAATGCACACAGTTTTAGTAAATTTTTCATGCACTTTCCAAAATTGTTTGTTCAAAATTTCACTTTTATAATATTTTATTTTTGTTTTTGGATTCATTCTCTCCATTTTTCGTACTCCACTTACGTTGAGATTTATTTTGTTGTYGGGTGTTTTAATGTAAAAAGTAAAAGGAGTTCAGTTTATTTATTTATATACGTGTATATTGGTTGGAACGTTTTTGGTTGCGGTTTCAAAAAGTTGTCTAGCCAACTTTTGCAGAGCTCCGCCAGGTGGATAAAGAGAGAGAAAATAGTACGTCTTTGTTGTACGACTGCCACTCGCCGTCTGAGGCCAGAAACGCGTTTCATTTCAGATTTTTCTACCAGATTTAAAACTTTTTTCGTCTGTCGGCGTCGACTGCACGGCCACAGATACATACGAAAGCGCAGCTCACATGCACACACACAAACACACGCGCACACACACAATAACAAGCATTCCCTCACACTCACACGTTGAGCAAGTACACGATCGGCGGCCGCAGCAAAAAAGCACGAACAAGAAACAAATAAAAATAAGAGTAAAACCAAATACACACACAAACACACACACACACACATGACACTTACAATCGCTTGATAATGTGTATATATGATATATGCATGTATATATTTTTGTTTTGGCAGTCGAGCTTGACTGCGAGCTTAAAAGCTTTCGGGTGCGGCTTATTGGCTCGTCAGAGCAGCTACGCAGCAATTTTTTCGTGTGGACCATTAAGGTACAAATTATATTACAAATATATTCGGGATACCCTAGGGTAAAGAGCATTAGAATTTAGTCATGAGATATGTAACGCATAGAAGAAACGCTAAACCCTTTTCTCTAGCTAATTGGTGTACCCAGTAAAAACTTGTTTTCCGAGTTAGCTAACAATACTTTAAGCAGATCAAACTACTATAAATAATGCGCAATAAATAGAATTCAACGAAAATCAAGTTTTTAATTGCTGGAAAGTTTTGGTCTATTCTAAATTTTCTCGAACAATCGTTGCTATAAATAGCTTCTAAATGGAATTTCGATCATATCAATTAGATGCTTAGCACTAAGATTTGATATTTGTCTAATAGATAATACAAAGTTTGCTGTGCGTTTGTTTCTTATTCCTGGTTCTTGTTTTTGGTTTCGCAATCTTCTCTTCTAATTGGCCGTAAGCCTTTCGATTCGTGCCGGATTTGACTTCTTATGCATATACACAACTTTTCTGCCATGGAATACAGCAATTTAATTTTATACGCCTAACACTTGTTTGTAAAACAAATATTTCTAAAATGATTGTAGACCATGACAAATCTACTTCGTTTGCATAATGAATTAAATTAAAATTGTTTTTGTCTCTTGTTGTATATTTTGTATTTTCTTGTTGATGAAAGTACTATAAAAAGTCGCTGAACTTTTCAAATCGAATTTCATTCAAAATTCGTTGATAATTTCTTATAAATATGCCATTAAATTTCCTCTTAAATCTGGCTTGCAATTGGAATCCACGATGCAAACGTCATTCGAAAAGCATTGGGCAAACTGTTCAGACAGTCGATTTCGAATTGAGGGATCAACCCATCCTTAAGGATAGACGGAATGAAAGGACTTCGACGAATGGTAATCATACTGCTCTTGCTGATGTTTCAACATCAAACAACAGCGCGAAACAAATGTCCAGATGAATTCAGGCCTCAACTCAAAAAGGATTTTACCGGAAAACCTATTACGCTGAATTTTCAAAAAAATATAGAATGTGATGATTAAAAAAAAAAAATAAATAATAAAAATTAAACATTATTTAATTTTATATATTCAAATATATAGTAAACCCGTATTTATAAATACTTTTGTTTATTTTACAACTTACTTAAATGTAATTGATTGTTGATACATACATACATAATAAAAATAGGCATATAGATTAATGTAATATATGCATCCATGTATATTTTCGCAATCACAGTTCGTCAAGCATCAGACAGAGTGCAAAGACCTATAAAGTACACCATATAGAAATTGCATTCATATATGAGTGAATGCATTGAATTCCTTTTAATCTGCTGCTGCATCTCACATAGTGCGGGAGGTACGAGTATTAACAAAATGAAAGTACTTTACGTCTTCGTATTTCTGCTGCTTGTAATGCAACTGCACCACTACGTCGAAGGCAAGGAAATAGAGAGTGCTGCTGCTACACGCCTGAGCTTAAGGCCGTCAGTCAAAAGGACATTTAAAGGAAAGCCTCAACGCATGTACCAAGTGAAACCAAAGAAAAATACTGCACATCAAAGCATATGAGCATTGCAAACGGGATTTTAAACTTGCAAAAAATACAAATATTTTATAAATTATTTCATATGTGAGTTATAATATATTAAAATTATTCTGCCTTAATTCTGATCAAATATAATGTGAAATATTAAATATTATATTTAAATAAAATTGAAATACGTTTTTTAACAGATTTCAGGTATCAGTCTGCTTATCGTTGAATTGATAGCGCATGAATATATGCAAATAGCTGATGTGAATTTGCTTCATTCTGTTACTGTCTCTCATATGGTCTCGTCACATTCATCAAAATGAAAGCACTTAACGTATTAGCATTTTTTTGGCTTCTGGTGGTATATTACGGCGATCCGACAGTAAATAACCGCTTGAGGCCGCAAATTCCAACGGACTTTGCAGGAAGACCTTTGCGTCTATTCCCAGCTCTTACTCCAACGAATCCTTAACTTCAAAGTGATTTATATATATTAACTAAAAATTGTACAGTCACTCTAAATAAAAACAATTGGGCAATTTATAAGCTAATCTTAACAAATAACCAGCTTCAAGTGTTTCATCTTAACAATGACTACACTACACAACAATATTGAGTAATACTACAATCAAATGCGAATTAGATTTGACAATACCTGAGTGATAAATACCGAATCTTAAAAAGAGGAGTGTTTGACACCGTAAGCTGAAAGCATTTTAATGATCACACATTTATTTATGTTAGCTTAACAATTTATGATTCAGACATTAATTCGAAATCAGTTCAGCCTGCTTATCAGCATCGCAATATATTTGAATACAAAGATTTAATTAAAGAAGCTTTTAATTTATTATGTTGCTGATTCTCCTAGGGTGTCGACGTGTCTATTATATTTCTATATTTTATGGCTGTTGCTCGGGTGCAATCATGTTAAAATGGATTCCGGGGGAAAGCCTCAACGCCTGTCTACAAAAATGAAAAAACTAAATAAAATATAAAACATTCAATACTTAGGTAAATTGATAAAATAAATAAAATGTAATGCTTTATATATATTTTTACTTATATAATAGATGCGTTAGCAAAAGCATGTCTCTGTCTGACCCCAAGACTAATTCACAATCTATAAATACACATACACATATATACTATATAGCGATATGCTCAATCTGTTTATGTAGCGCAATGAAAAGCTTTGCATTAAAATAAAAATAAAAAGAAGAAACAAATTAAAGGTGCCTCAATAGACACACATACGCGCGCACATAAATTAAAACTGAGATCTCGTAAAACTAGCTTCAGCTCAAATTTGTTGTCGTTGGCGTCGACGTCGACGTCGCATTGTGGCTGCACTGCAACGGCCGTTGATCAAGTCGCTTTTCTGGCAGCTGTCTCTATGGCTACTGTTGTTGTTGTAGTTGTTGTTGTTGCACCACTCAAACTTGTTGCTGCTTACGAAAAAAAAATAAATAAATAAAATATAAACATTTCGCTTTTTGCTGCAGTACAGATTTTTGTTGTGTGTTTTTTTTAATACCCTTTTGCAATATTGATTCAGAGGGTATATTGAAGTTGAGCCAGTGGTAAGTTGGAGCTACTAGGCTGGCTACTAATTCTTTCTCTCTCTCTCTCTCTCTCTCTCTCTCTCTCTCTCTCTCTCTCTCTCTCTCTCTCTATCTATCTATCTGTCTTTCTCTCTCACCCTCACTCTCTCCTTATCTTCCTCTATCCCACTATCTGTATCTCTCTCTCTCTCTCTCTCTGTCTTTCTCTCTCTCTTTCTACTCCTTTCACTCTTTGTCTATCTTTCTTTCCCTCCCTCCGTCCGACTCGATCTTTAACTTTAATCTTTCTTTCTCTGTTTCTAAACCTTTCGTTCTCTTGCTCTCCCTGTCTACACGTTTATTCTATTCGTTTCCTATACCTAAGTTTCTTTATCTCAATTCCCCACTTTTATATTCTATCATGCTACATCGTATATCGGCTATAAAGCTTAGTCGTTGCTTAGGGTATCACCTCGTCGAGCACTCTCTTAAACTATTAAATAATTGTTGTGGTCGCAGCATCTAACAGCAAATCATTGCACTGTGCACTACAGACACAGACACACACACACACAAGCACATTTAAGTATATAATATTGAGTACATACCATGTCTATATATACATCTATGTGTGTGTGTTTGGCCAGGGTTCATCTTGATTGCTTCAGCAGCTGCCGTTGCCCTCTGCCTGCTGCTCGCGGCTCGCTGCCGGTTTAACCTCATCGTTAGTTGAGCTGAAATTCAACACGAACAGCAGAAGCCAAGCGAAGCTCTGAAATGATTTGAAAACAATATACGTATAGTATATAGATAAATGAATATGTACAAGTAAAACAAACTGATTATAATACACAAAACATATGTATAAGTAAATAATGGTATATTATGGGCAACCTACAGATTCATTAGTCAATATCATTATTGGCATGACTCTCATCATTTTGACCATTCAAATTAGTCGCTACATTTTGTTTATGATTATTTCTCTTTTTTATTGTCCATTTTAAGCAGCTGCATTTATATTATATTTTACATTTTATTTTATTTGTTTTTTTTTTTTTTTTTTTTAAGTTAAAGTTTTTGTATAATCTTATAAATTATGGGAAAGATATTCAAACGGATCCGCCGATCGAATGGGATGGGGCGATCCGTAGATCTTACGTTCGCCTTTTTAATGCTTTATATCATGCTAGACGCTCGTTTGTTTGGCTATATCTCAATGACCCAATGGCCGCACCGGCGTTTGACCGTTGTCATTATGCAATCTCGCCTCTATTTATGTTTTCATTTTATATCACTATAATTACATAATTTTTGTTGTTGTGTGTGTATGTGTGTATTTGAAATGTCACAAGCCAACAAACGCAGTCGTCGCACAAAGCTTTGGGCTTCAGCTTTCTCAGCTCACATTTGAGTTTTATTTAGTTATTAAATTTCTTTTTACAACTTCGCCTTGGCTTATGTAAGCCGACACCCGCAACGCCTGGCCACGCCCTCTTTCCCAGTTCATTAA